TATGTTATATTATTTGTAACATCATCATGAGAGCAATATTTCATGCTGATATTTTTCCATTCATTCATTCATTCATTCATGAATTATTTCACGTTATCGTCTTCATGATTTTGTGGAGCTTTCGTTTCTTAAATAATTCATAAAAGAAATTGGTTTCAATCGCTTTCGTTTGCATTTAAAATGCACTTTATTGAAGCATGTTTTTTATCGACATTGTTTAATATATGATTTCCTACTCACGTGCGTAACTTTCTCCGCGTCGTTGCAGTTCGTATCAGTGCTATTTAACGAGCGTAGTATTCGCGTCGACTATGAATGGCGAACGGAACAGGTATTGTGGTTATACGGCTATAGTAAAAAGGAGGACGATGGGTCTTCGACCCAACAATGCTCGTTCCCTCTTTGTCCGAGCCACTCATTCTTAATCAAACGCAGTTATATGCAAGCGTTATGAGTTACTCATTGTCATCCGTCTGCACTCGTAAGTCCTTTAACATGCGAATATTTCGTGAAATAAAAAAAAATATGTTTCAGCTCCTCGATTGTGTAGCAATACCAGTCGCTTTGGTACTCTCGTTTCTGGTGCTAGGCGTTAGATACCGAATGGTGCACATCGTCGGTGTATCTGTCTGCTTGATGGGTGTGGGATGTTTGGTTTGGGCTGGAATAGATGACAATAACGATCCTACGGCTACAGGTAATTATCAACGCTAGCGAGATGCTTCTTTGTTTTTAAGAAAATTCGTTTTCAAGGAAATTATCGATAACAAACTGTTTATCTAATTGTATTACACTTAACCTTTATATTCCGAACGGTCTTTTGGACAAGTTTAACAATCTTTAAATTAGAACTTTCTTGTACATATCAAGGGATAGATTTATAGAAATTTTTAAGACTTCCGCTGTGCCATTATAGTGGTTTCCCGGATTATACGATAATTTTTCTTTCAAATTAGCTTTTCTTATTTAATTTTTTTTCAATTATACAGGCCGGCATATACATTTTTTTATTTAATTATGCAGAAACCTCTTTTTATATTAAAATTCATAAAAGAACATTAATTTACTTTTTATAGAGAAAGAGAAAGAGAGAGAGAGAGAGAGAGAGAGAGAGAGAGAGAATTATGTAAAAATATATATGATAATATATATGATAATATATATGATAAATATATGATAAAAAGATGCAAAATATAGAACAAAATATTAATTATTATTTAGATAAATTTTAAAGTTTATTATTAGCAAAATAGTAAAAACTTGTATGACATAAGTATATCTGTATATTTAATTATTTATTTCTACTTTTTTCTCAAATTTTTATTCAAAAAATTTCTAAAATTTTTATATCTTTTAAAATTTTTTCATTAATTTGAATGGAGTAGGTGGATAATAATAATGGTAATAATAACAATAAGAATTATAGTTGTATTTCACAAAATTGTTGCCACGCTACTAAAGCGGATTGTAAAGGTTAATTACATACTTGTGGTTGATTTTATGTGTAAAACTAATATAAGTAAGATATGCTACTATACGATAAAGAAAAACGATTGAGAATTCATATTATTCATATTTTGCCGTACCAGGAAAGAATCAACTCGTCGGCGATATGCTCTGTCTTGGTGGCGCAGTATTATTCTCGGTCACGACGGTCCTGCAGGAGTTGGCGGTTAAAACGGTCGATATTATTGAATATCTGGGTATGATCGGATTTTTTGGTACGATATTGAGCTGTATGCAGATGTAAGTACATTATCGCGGGAAAAGTCGGAAGCTCACGCACGTGGTGAGTGCACACTTTTTATTTCGATCCTTTTGTTGCAGCGCGGTCCTCGAGAGGCTCCAAATAGAATCGTTCCATTGGGATAACGTGCCAGTAATAACGATCCTGATTCTTTACTGCATCACGCAATTTATGTTTTTCTCTCTGGTGCCGGTAATATTGTTCGAATCAGGTGCTACCGCCTTGCAGTTGGCGTTACTCACCTCAGATTCATTCAACATTTTAATGGGAATGCTTAATCATCATTACAAAGTAGGTTGATCATTATATTGCTAACGTTATACTTGTTGTACGATCGATCGCAAATGCTTATGTTTCGTACACAAATGACTTTTTTTTATCAAAATTACTAGAATGAGTTTCTAAAGTTAAGTCACTTATTTTCGAAACATTATCTATTAATACGTTCTCTACTACGGTTTATTTAGAGAACTCTTCTTACAGATTATTTAGTATTTTCTTTTTACATAATTATATAAAACTACATTAGTTTGATAATGCGGACATAAGAAAGATTTTTTGCTGTCACACATATATGACGCTGGTAATGAACGTATCAGAAACACAAAGTTGTCTGAGACAAATATCTGTCAGCGAAATGATTATCGTTGTTTAACCATTTCTTTCGTTTTCTAAGAAAATACTGTCCCAGTTAATACGATAATTTCCTTCTCTGCCTTTTATTTTAGTTTCACTTGTTTAACCACTTGTTTAACCATTTCTTTCGTTTTCTAAGAAAATACTGTCCCAGTCAATACGATAATTTCCTTCTCTGCCTTTTATTTTAGTTTCACTTGTTGTATTTCTTCTCGTACACCCTCACGATGGCCGGCATATACATTTACGCGATAAAGAGAACGCCCATGTCGACGAACTCACGAAGACAACACATTGAGCCGCCTATTCCAGATTACAGGTAGAGTCTGTGTTAAATGTGGCAACAAGTTTGCCAACAATTTTCGTCTCGATAATCATGCGTGAAGCATGAATGATTTATCGTTGAAGCATTAAAAATGATCTTATTTTAAGACACATGTCTCATCCCGACGTGGGCGAAGTGGAGATGGCCACAAGCTCCGGCATGTCCGGTGTGAGCGGCACTCTTGACATAAGGGCGTCCACCCTCGGCAGCGAGAGGGAGACGATGGACGCGACGAGTCTACCTTTGAGTGTCAGCTCTGACACGGCCTTCACCTCCTTCTACGGAAGTCAGGCGAATTTAAAGGTAGCATCGAGATCGGTGCCGCGCATCTCTTCCAATTCGTATCTCGATACGAACGCTGGTGCGATTAACTCGCCTTGATGTCAGTTGGGGACGAGCTTGCGGTCGGGGCTGCCGAGTTCAGGAGATCTTACGGGTGTTTCACGAGGCAGATGTACTCCGCGCAACTGATTGATTCCCTCGGGATCTACTTCAGTGTATCTGTCACCGACGCACATTTCATCGAGTCGTAATGAAATCTTACGGTTGCAAGAACGAATCGCGTAGGTCGTATTTCCTGAAGAAGTAGCAGTTCGTAGTAGTTGGTGTATAGTCGAGAGCGAAACGGTTTAGACAACTTTTTTCTTGTAAAGTCAATAATTCATCTAGTTGTTATATTTGAAAATCACTGCTTACGGACTTGCGCGGTAATCGGCTATAACAAACAGTGATTCTTGAATGTGACAACATTCTGGGTTATTAACTTCTTTAGAGGAAAAGTGTTCAAACGGTTTCGCTCTTAACAATACACTACAGTGTCTTTAATGTACAAGTCGTACATCATATGTGGAAATCGCGTAACTAGTTCATACGAAGGCAATAAAATAAAAAGATCGAAAGACAAATACGAAATTACAATCGAAAGATACAAGCTTTAGATATTCGTGGTAATATATTTGATTCGCTGCAATCGTACACGGAGCGACGAATAGATTGTTGATTGCGGATCTGTGCAAATTTAAAAATTCGATTTTGCGCGGTAATTTATCTGCCTCCCATAACATGGTTCTCGTAATCTTTTTATTAGCACTTTGTGGTGTAAATGAAATCTGTGACGGTTTCAGGCTGCGAACGGGAACAGCGGTTCTGCCTGTAATTAATAAGCGGAGGGAAACGACTGCCTAGAATAGAATATCGTGCGATTCGTTCGTTCAAAATGCGACACCTCACGAAACAGAGAGGCCCCTTAGAGAGCACGGAGGAACGTTTATATATCGACACGATGATTACGAACGCTAGTACACAATCTCTTTTTAGATAGCCGTATAAAATTATTATTATTATACCGTATCGATTGTATTTAACGATAAAACCATAGCTGCGCCGTCTTTGAGTACCATTATTTCAACAGAGAGAGCGATTAAATATTATTTAATAGAGAAATTATATTGCATATAATTTATTTTGCAATCAAATATATACATTGTTTAGTTACCGTATTATTTAGTGTAGACCCAGGTGAATATGGTCAAAATATGATGTGAGACAGTTGTCGTTAGTTTTTCGTTTCAAACGAGTTGTTTTGCCATATGAGAATTAATTGATATGATAAAATAGTTTGAAGCACAAAATTAACGATAACAGCGTCAAAATTATTTTGATTCTGTTCACTCTGTGATCCGATTCGCATAGGGTTATCCTATTTATCGTGATAATCTGATTCCGTAAAATTCACACAGTCGAATTTTATTCTCGAAGTTTAGAATTAAGTTCGAATAATCTAATCATCGTGACACAAATCGCGAAATTTCACACTCTTCCGTAGATAAATTGTTTAAAACATCTTGGAATACTGGTTAATTTAATTAGATACTTGCTCAATATATGTAGGCTACATGTAATTAACGATAGATTGATATTTTGTAGTCGATTCTCAATCGTCAAGCTCGAAGACGGCCGTGAAATCAAAATGTGTACCGAGTTAGATGTTAATATTCCTTCTAGCTAACAACGTTCCCAGCATCGTTTATATAGACACGGGCTAAATTCCTCGTGACAGCAAAACGTGCCAAATGTCAAAGTCTGTTAGCATCGGATCGTAGATCTAGAAGAATATGAATGCAAAACGTGTACTCGTCTTACGTACGTCGTGTACTCATTTCCACTTGAATTTTTTACATTAACACGAATTACCTTCGTGGACGTTTGTTATTACTATTACGATGAATACACTCTTAATCATGTACCGCGTAGTACCTCCAAATTCGAGGTACTAATTTCTAACTGAAACGACATTTCGTTGATTACTTATTGATAGAAGATACATTTTCATATATTAACTTTTCTGGTATATTAATATGAAGTACGGGGTGCACGAGATAATAATACATACAGTGATTTGATTGTAGGTACAATTCATGATGTTTTCGTTTAGAAGGTACAAAGCTTCCTGTACATATCTGATATGTATAGGTGCGCGGTTACAAATGTATCGCCAATACGGTAACGGGAGATCACCATATAAGGATATATTATATAAGCATAAATTGTCAAAGTATTGTTGAAGTTAAGAATACCGCTTGATGCTCGATTACCAGGTTAAACAACGCCTTAAGGTGGTCGGAAAATAGATGGTGACCGGTCGATTACCGGCTTGGGATGGGCCAGTATTTAATACATTGTACCGCATAAGTTCTGACAATTGAAGACCCTCCTAATTTGTCGGTACTATCTTTTCTTCTGTTCTTGACAATACTTATGTCTTTTGTTATTATGTAGAGTTTTTATTTCAACATGATTCGCCAATTTTTGGCGATACATGCTTAAGAGTGTAAATATTATAGTATAAATATATATATACATACAGAGATATTTATAAGTTACAATAAATATGATATAACAAGGTTTGACAGAGAAAGAAAGATTGAAATAATTTAACCGAACGCACGATCTCGCTCGATTTAATTAGTATTACGATCTATATAAAGTAACACATTTAACTATTACACTGTTCTATTCTTCTGCCACGACAGTACGACTTCACAGCCACAATTTAAATGCTCCAACGTAAGTCACTTAATAATAAAAGTAAACATGTTCGTAACTTGTTCGTTAGATGAATTTTATTCGGATAACAAGTACTAATCTTATTTATACAACTACTAATCTTATTTATACGCACTATATTTGTTCATGTATTCAAGTAATAATAGCTAAATCAACAATACGTGAAAACTCATGTTTTCTTTCGTATTCTCGTGACTTTTATATTGAGATTAATAACCAATTGTATTGAACGAAACTACGAAGGGTTTACAGGGTGAGCGAAAAATCTAAAAAACATCGACACAATCCCAGTCTTGTTGTTACATGATACTAATTTATATGCTATTATGTCCAAATATTTGATAAATTAATTATAAAACATGTAACTGTGTGTGCCGCTAAAAACATGTTAGAGAGGACAGAAAACAAGTTGTTAATTCAACCAAATTTTCACATATATTGTGGTTGTCTTGAATTTAATAATATGAAATATGTTCAATATTTCGTACCAAAATTTTATGAAAAATAGACAAAAAATTATTTATTGCTCATATATTATATATTATATATTATGTATTAGATCTCTCTTATATACATAAAGAATTTTAGTTTTGTTATTATCTCCATACCTAGTACGTCAAAACGATTAGGGCATGTTTAAAAAATATACTTTGTAACAACTTTATAATATTTTGCATGTAATATTACATGTTGCGTCGCCCGTGTTTATTAGTTTATTAATATTATTATTACGCATAGTGATACGTATAGATTTCGCTTAAATTGTTCATACAAATCTAATTCCTGAAGAAGATTATGCGTTTGTATATTTCTAAAATAATTTGTACATATTATTCTTATTGCTCAAAAACGTTTTGTATTAATAATTAGTATGAAGCGCGGTGTAACGCGACCCACGTTTTCCAACGTAATTTATCAAGATCAAACAATAGTATATTAAAGAGTTCAATAATTATTCTTGCACTCCTATATACAGGAGAATTATGAATAAAAATTGTCATTATATATAAGAGTTATAATGAGTATTAAGAGTTATAATGAGTCATAATCAAAGTGTTTATTAAAAATTAATTTAATACGTTTGTTGCGTTATTCCGAACTAAAATCAACTGTAGCTTTTTGTAATAATAAAACGTTGTTTTATATAGGTAATATGTATATTTTTTTTAAATAAATAAATTAATCAGTGACCTAGAAATTGCCAATTATACACATACACACACATATATATATATATATATATATATATATATATCTTTTAAAATAATTATTAATATATGTGCAAAAAACTTTCTGAAAAATCGAATGAAGCAAATTTAAAATGAGATTTTATCCAGTATCCTTTAAAACAAAATTCTAACGAAATATTTACAGTGTTTGTTTCGAGCCTTTATGATTCCCGGAGAGTCTTGTTTATACTTAAAATATATCGCGTCGAAAACCAATCAGAAAAAAGCTTTCAAAGAGGACGTAATAAGCAGAATTTTCATATATATTTGATCTAAAAAATTTAAAGACAATGTAACATCTGTTGAAAACGCCAATAAAACAGGACGAGGAATAACAGTTACAGTTAGAAGTAAACTTGATACGTGTCAGTGAGCTTTTACGAAGTAATGAGAACATTTCTGTACGAGAAGTTTGTAAACAATTAAATATATCGCAAACAAATCTTATATAACATAAAGATTCAGATTGAACAATCTGAAAAAAAAATTGCAAGATAAATCAGAAATTTGACAACATAATGATTAGGCAACATAGTTGTTTCGTATGGATAGAGTACTGCAGACAGCCGGGCTCTAGGCACCGCGATGCTCGCAAGCGTCCGTCTGCCGACGCTGCTTCGCGCCGCCGCCGCTTCGCGGCGACGGCTTCATCGGACCGTCACTCGCAGTTAAATCTTAGCTCAGCGACTATATAAGCCGGCGCGAGCAACGGCTTGAGGCCTTTTAGAGTACGTTGCACGTTAGGCCTCCGCCTTTAGAGTGTCTGTTCACGACACGTTGGCTTACCTCGTACGAGGTTTTAGTATCTCCACCTCCTTGACACTGCCAGTGGGTGAAAAAAGGGTTCGCAAGATAACTTCCCGGATAACTTTGCAGCCGCCATCACAGGGTGGACGCTTCTTTTTACGATATCTCTGGCACTGCAGATATTGTGCGTCGACAGAACTTAGCTACTGTCGCGTTTACGACACTTATCGTGCGAGCCACGTTCGCTTCTAAAGGTGCGTTCACGGAGCTTGCTTATTGGTCTGGTTTACATCGTCAAAACGTTAGTACGCGTATTAAATTTGATGCGTACCAATGTTTTAATACAGGTGCGTTTACATCGAACGTACTAAAGGAAGAATATAATACGAATTTAATTCATGTCGATTGCTTCATAGTGGTGGTATTTGGAACTACAACTTGCTTTAGATAGTTTTGTTGGACATTCAGAGTACTCAGAGACCTTAGTTATTTCAAACCTCATATTTTCAAGGAAGCGTGCTGTACATTCAAGTTTTTTGCAAAGATCGTTGAAAGCAAATTGTTTCCAAAGTATTATTGAAAGCGGTGTTAGAACAAGATCGAAAATTTACTTGATTTTGTTTTGTGAGTGGATTTTTGTTTTGGAGTGAATTATGTTTTGTTGTATTAATTTGAATAAAAACGAGAAAAATGATAATAATAATGTATATAAGTATATGGCGAAATTTTATGTTTCAAAAGTTACAATATGCTCGAAGAAAACATATGATGACGATAAGAGCAAGGCGACGAGCCTTGTTACGTCTATTAAGGTTATGTTTGGAATAAAAATATAATTTAATTTTAACGTGGGAAGTAATATGTAATATAATACCTCATCAACTTATTACGAAGGGCATACAATACAGAAGAACATAGATGAAAAAAAGAAGTAACGAATTTTGGGAATTCATTGTGTTACATCATTATACTGAGTTGGAATGGCTCGAAAGTTTCCGAATGTCAAAACTGAGTTTTATTAAATTTTGTGTGATTTACTAAAAGATGAATTGGAACCCAAAATACAATTTTTAAAGGCTAGGAGCCTATATCTGTAACAAAACAAGTTGCTGTAGCTTTGTATAAAATTGCTAGTTGTTCTGAATACAGAGTAGTTGAGAATGTATTTGGAATACATAAGTCAACAGTAAAGAAATGCCTTTACAGAATTATACAAGCAGTTAATAAAGTTTTAACTCCCACTTATATTAACATGCCAAACGAAAATGAAGCTGCATTTATTGCAAAGCAATTTGAAAACGTATCTCATATACCTCAAATAATTGGTAGTATCGATGGAATTCATGTGCCTATTATAATACCAGAAGAAGGTTACAGAGATTTTGTTAATAAAAAAGGATGGGC